GTGCTCCTCAGTAAAGTTGTACGGCTAAAGCAGATTGGTCTGTGACTATGTATTTGCTTGCCACCTAGAAGGTTAACTATGGTAAGCTCTCTGGTGCAAGCCAGAGCAGACATCAGCTCACCCTCAGATGAAACAGGAGCTACCCAGGTGGTGAGAAAGCCGGCAGAATTCTCAACCTGATTACTGGCCAGGGTAGAGGAGAGGGAAAGCTGGGGGAGCCAGTCATGTGACTGGGAGGCAAAATCAAATGTCCTGAGCCTTCCAGAGGTCCTAGAGGAAGTCCTGATCTTGGCTGTCGCGGACCCCATTCCTGTGGCATCCACAGAAGCACTGCTGCCTGAATCCTCATTCACTCCTGCCCATTCATAGCTACAAGGTCCACCAAAGCCATCTCAAAAGGGAGGATTAAAATTGTCCTCAAACGGCTCACAGACTGATCACCACACTTGTACATACCTTGTACCAAACCAGCTCAAGGCAGACAGATGCTGGAAGGCATCTGAAGAACCACAGCACCAAACATGCCACCAGCAGGGACATGGGCTTGGCTATGCACTGGAAACCTGTTGCCTACCCCTGGCCAATGCTATTCCTTTCATACCAAGTCTGATCCTGTCCCATATGCTGCATCCATTTTCCCCAATTTTGCCATTTTGGCTTTTGCATAGGATGCCTTCAAATAAAGTCGGGGGGGGGGTACCTTGAGTACCCTGAGACTCCTTTACCTCAGGCTGATATGTATAAAGTTCTCACCCAGTGCGGAGGGCAGCAAATACACACAATCCTACTGCCCTCATTGTTATCACTACCCACAAAACAAGGCAAGGATCACCAGAGGTTTGCCTAATTCCTTCTACCATTTCTGTTGCCCTTTCTTTCAACCAACCTTTACTGCAACTAACCTGAGGCTCTTTCTAGCTAGGCTACTCTGCTGTGATGAGGCTGATGGTCTAGATTCACGTACAGGGAATCTGGGTGCATATGGGTGGCACCTCCCATTACACCCACAGTCCAAACTCATACTAGCTCTTATGGCAGCTACTTGTTGTTGAAGCTTTTAGGTGTAGAAGTTTTACTTATACACTGAGACTAGACTAGAAGCTCTGCTTTCATCTCTAGAATAGTGAGCACTCTTTTAAGTCACATGCTCACTCATTTGTGGCTTCCTCTGTCATTTCCCCACAGGGGCCCTGTACCTTAAGACTGCTCAGCACACAAGAATTGCCTAACTTGTCTAAGCGAAATGCCAAGTTACCAGAAGTTTAGTAGCTCCCACTTACTCAATGATGTGCCTTGCAAGGGAAGACCAGGGACAGTTTGTTCTTCAAGAGGTAGCCCTAAGGACATGTCCTACCATTGCCAGTAAGACATGCAAGGTAAGATAAGGTGCTGTTGAAATGTGACCATTGCATTTATCTGCCTCCAAAGAAAAAAAGTACCTTAGCCATTGAGCAAGCTCCTGCATCCCTTCCTAGCTGTGAACAGTGTCAGGTTTGAAGAGCCAAAGAGCCCCAGCCTTGCTACAATTGGCATCCCATAGCAGGGAGGGCCCAGGTCTGTAGACATGGTTCTGACGCTTCCAGAATGACCCTCATTCCAAATCTTGACCTCCAAGATCTGACTTACAATGAACCTGATATTCATCATTAAAATCGCTTGGAAGGAGGGCACACCTTTCTATGGGCCCAAACTGAAAATATGCCTTAGAAAAGATGATCTACTTGTGGGATGGCTTTTAAGGCTAGTTCCCCATGGGTTAACTCCACAGCTTTTGCTTGAGGATAGGGAACTTGTGGAGTATGGATGTGGTAGTCAGCTCCAAAGCTGAGGGAAACACCTGCTACACAGCTGAAGAACCAATGCCAATAAATATCAACACAGGCTATAACACAAGAAGTCAGTCACAAAGGATCACACCACCTACAATGTGGTCCAGACAATGTCAAGAAGCAAACTCAGTCAATGAGAGGTTGCCTAGAGCTTACACTGGTGGAGGAACTGAAGACAATAGCCACAATGGAACATCTCTCTGGGGTGACGTCTAGAAATTGTATTAACAACGGATATACAGATCCACACAAAGACTAAGTTATTGTACTAAGAGACCCTATAGTGTTATCACAGCAAGCCTAGCTCCAGCTGGTAGTAGAGGGGTGTTATGGATAAGGTGACCTGGCAGTGTTCTGGACCCCACCAGGGCCTGGCTAGACTTATATGCTTCCTTACCAGCCCCTTATGCAGGAAGGGGGGGCAGTTCCCTGGAATGAACATTGCTACTTCATACTTGTTATTTGAATGCATGTCATGGGCAATAAAATGAGGAGCAGAGCAGGTTTTGAATTTGATTAACAAGTCTGAGATGCAGGCTCTGTATCCATATCCAGACAGGAAATATATGTGAACAGGACTGAGAAATAGGACAAGACATGCACAAATGCATCAAGGCAGGTACAAAGATGAGATTCAGGAAGATTCTCAAACAGAAGATTAACCTTAAAAAAGACCAGATAATAGAACCTAATACTTGAACACATGTCCTTCTTAAGAAAATGTCATTACAATTTCCCTGATGTTTAATTCCTTAACCATTTCACTTTCCAAAACTCCTCATAAAGGAAACTGGGAGCAAGTATTTCTTTTGAGAGTAAGACATGCAAGTCAAAGCAGCCATTTTGTGTTGACTTTGAATATGATGTCAAAACTTAAGAGTTGTTGACAGGAACAGGGCTGGCTTGACCCTGGTTGCTTCCTCTAATGTAGGAAAAGAAAATTTTACTGATGTCTAACAGCCTAGGTATTTATTTTTCATCTTCGAGAAACGAAATTGCTACTATGTAGCATAAAAGAGTAAAGCTGATTACTTAGTGATGGACAGTAGGCATCTTTGGAGGAAAGACACTGACCCAACGAACTAGGCCCTGATCTTCCAGAGATGACCACATCCACTTCACCAGAGCTCAGACACAACCCTCTTACACCATACAGTGATCAGACTTATTATGAATGGACTACTTCTCCTCGCCTTCACACTTTTTTACCTTTTGATCCATTTCAGCCTTGCAAATATCTAGCCTTACTTCTTCCTTAAGGACCCATTTGACTCCATTTTATCCTCAGAAACACAGTGATAGGGAGCTCCTCTATTTCTGAGATCTCCATGCAAGCATGAGTACTTTATGATCCTGGCAAACTTTGGGCAAGCCCCCATCCTGTTGCTGGGAGCCTGGTACCCTGGACTAGGTGGAGAGCTCTGAGCAGGGGGACAAGCATGAAATAGAGGTTTGACATGAAGGAAATACATTCTGAAGGGTGAGAATATACTTGAAACTCATACATTAAAGAGATCACTTTTACTTAAGAAGCAGGGAAGGAACAAATCAAATTTTCATAATATAGAGAAGCTAGCACTGCTAAAATGGGAGATGGTATACATTTGCCACCAGTCTGAATTGAAGATTTATGGTTAGTGAATTTAATGCAGCTAGTCATTTGTATTATTGTCTAACAAATCTTTAATTAGCATAATTAGGGGTTATTAATCACCATTTAAGTGTGCTAAAACTAAAGGCAAAACCTAACCCATAAAAATTATTTTAAAATAAACCATTAGTGTAATAAATCCATCTTTATAAATATTTCCTCCAACATAAAATGTGCATGATAGAAAACTCTGTACTTAGTACAGAGTGGGCTGTTTCTGTGTAGAAGAGTACTTCCCCAATAGTTCAAAGGTGGCATCATCCTGAAACTGTTGTCTTTTGTAATTCTCCCACTCTACAGTTCTGTGGAGAAATCACTGTAATGTAGCAAAGGGAAAAAACAGTCCTGTCCTACAAGAATGGGAAATCTCAACAGCTCATTATCTTTCACAGAGAAGCCTCACTGCTGCAACTTAATCTCAACCTGGTTTATAAGGTGGTAATATGGTTAAGATGGGAAGAACTAGACATCAAAGAAAGGAATGCCAGGAACTCATCCACGAGGACAAAGGATCCTGTTTCAGCACCAGGACAGTGGCCACTGAGATCCCTAGCCTGTGGACCTGGGGCAGCCACAGCTGTGACTTGAACCACAAGTTCTAGTTACTTACATTTTCAATGGGATGTTGGCATTATTTGCAGGACAGCACTTCACTTACACAGAGCTTCCGATCTGTGGATAATGGACCATGACACCATCTTCTTTGATACTTACTACTTACAACTGTTTGGTGTTTCATCATCTGCCCACCTTTTAAATGTCCCTAGAGCTGGGGCCACAATTACCTGAGTAGTTCAGTCTCCTTCTGATACGTGCATTCACACCATCTGATGAAAAGGTTAGCCACAGATAGTAGACTGCCAGCACAAATTTGACTCTGACTGAAGTCCTTTGGTGACTAAAATCTGCTCTATGCCAGTTGACAGCTGGATTAACTCTTCAACCTTTAACCACCAACCAGTAGACTATTATTTAGCCATTAGTACCACTCCAAAATCATACCTGATGAAAAAAACACTCTCATCTCATTGACCCTCCAAAACAGAGTAAGGTTTTCTCAGCTTAACTTGTCTTTGTGAACATATATTCAGTGATTGTTTTTCAGCATTCATATTTTTCACATTTTATGTATTATTTATTAGATGTTTTGTAGCTCAAAGGAGAGCCTTTAGCAATGCTGTCTCAGGAGGAAGAAAATGACCAGCTGCAGAAGGGATACCAATAATACAGGCTTGCTTAGGCTAAAGCTTGGCAAATAAATGCAGATAATTTACATTTGAGGAAGGGGGTAGAAGAAAACCCCCATCCACAGTTATAAAAGAAAATTAACCATGCAGGCAAATGAAGCCTAGAGAACACCAAGCTTCTGTCTGGGGGAATGGCGTTCACAGCGCTGTGACACAGGATTTCCACTCAGAGCACAACAAGGTAAAGCAAGAGAACAAAGCCATGACCGTGTGCTGCTTCTTTGCCGAGACATTAGCATCCTTCAAATGGAGTGATGACCAGGAAGCCAGGAAAAAATTATTACTCAAGACATTTATTACAAATGTCACGAACATATTCATAAAGTAAAATTAGTTTAAAAAACAGAGAACGAGAGCAAGTGATAAAACAAGAAAAGCCAGGGCTCTGAAATTACACCTAGAACACAGGAAGATGTCATCTTTACGAATAAGTAGAATTAACTACATTCTTAAAATAGTTTTAGTGCATTGCATTTTAGAAAAGGGACATACCCTCACCCCCAAGAAAAGGTTCCTGCAACACTGACAGTTTTGTGTGACTACTCTAACCTGACCACCGTCTGCTTCCAACCCCAATGAGAGCAATGAGATCACATGTGTTGGTGGCAACAGCTGACCATCAACCACTAATGGTGAGTCTGGTGAAAATGAAGCGTTCTGCCTTCTACACTTAGAAAGCAAATTGCAACAGCCACAAGGCCCTTTCCACCTTCATGGACAGTTTTTGTTGTGCCTGCTTAAACTTGTGACAAAAATAACAGTCAAACTCCAATTGGATAGTTTTGGTATTAAATTAAACAGTAAGGTGTTCTTCCCAAAACATAAACTAAAATCACCTCTCAATGCATTAAAAACAATGAGGTAGGCAAAAAATAATAATAAACATGTAGGTTGAATTTTTCTTTCTTCTGCAAGCGCAGACTGTGGTAAAACTGTTGTTGCACTTCTAGGTTTAAACAAAAATTAAACCTTTAACTGAGGCAGTGCTAATACTGTCACACAACAAAGTTCTGGTCATTATACAAAATGCACACATTTTCTTTTTCTTTTCTTAGAACCATCTGCACATGATTTAGGTAAAACTTGGTACACAGAAAAATGACTGAGTTGTTGGCCAGGACATCATCGGTCCCCCCAAAAATCCAAAGCAACAAAATGGGACCCTTTAACCCACCCCACCCCAATCCCGCCCACAAAAAAAGTTATCCTAGTTAAGTGTGTCTTTCACATTTTATAAATATTAACTTCTTAAACCTGCACCTTCTTCTTTCTCCACATATTGTCACATTACAAAAAAGAAATGTCAATTAAATACATTGTTAATGTTACTATATTAATCTGCTCTCTCCTTTAGCCAACTGCTCCTCTCGCCACCACGCTTCACCTCCTTGTGCCCATCGCCAACAAAACCGATGGCATGTTCATTGTCGCCACCTTCAGACACCCAACAGGACAGAGTCACTCAGAGACAAGGAATTCTGGAGCTGCAGGTAAGGTGTTCTTTCTGGCCTGATGCTCAACCCCAAACACTTCTAGCACCGATGGTAGAATCTGAACAGCACCAGCTGCAATGCAGCCTTGATTTATTTTTGAGTAAGGAAAAAAGAGAAATTGGCAAAAAAAAAAAAAAGTGGGAAGGAAGGGAGAGAGAGGAGCCAATACACGAGGCTTGCACACACAGCTGTCTTGGCTGCACCGGTGCAGCTCTGAGCTCCAGTTGCAAGGAATTCCAAGTTCTCAGGATCTTGAAGACTCTGGAGATCAACAATCCCTGGACCACACTGCTTCTACCAGCTCAGAAGAGAAGTCCTGCCTAAGGTCATGAAATAAACCTGACTGCTGCCACCAGACCGAACAGAGGCAAAAAACACCTGCAAAAGCAAGAGAAGAAATGGTAGTTAGCAGACCACGGGGTACCTTTCTGGAATTCCAATCAGTCCCTACAAATATGCCTATAAAGACAATCTAAAAAGTTCCTTAATTTATTTCAGAATCTACTAAACTAGGGGAATACATGATCAAAGTCAACAAAAAATACCCCATTCCTAAAAGATAGTAGTAACTAAAAAGAAATCATAAGGAAACATTACCTTGTCATTGCGTTCACATAAGAATTTTAGTCTTTGAGCCCTTTTGTGCATAAACACACCATCCAAGTGACCAGTTTCCACAGATCGGATCTCTATGGCCTTTTCTCCCCAGCCCATTGTCTGATTGGATCGAATATATGCTTTAGGGGAAGGGAAAAACACAAACCATTAAGGTGAGGAACCAGTCTTGAAAAGAAGTTGCTTATACATGCAAAAACATTTACCTAAATACCCAGAATTCAGTGATTTTTGTTTTTAAGTAGCCTGCCTCAGAGCTGGAATCAGGTCAGTGACGAACTGCTTACCTACCTCAAGCACAAAACCTGGGTTCAATTTATAACATTATCTAAAAACAAGACCAATAAAATTGAAATAAACCCCCCATTTAACAAAAAAAACAAGAGTTGTAGCTTTGTATAGAGTCTGGTGCACATGTTCCCATCAATCCAGCCATGAGAGAAGGTAGGGGGCAAGAAATGAGGAAAACGATAGGGACTTATCTACAATAAAACTAAAATTGCTTTGAGATTTAAACACAAAGCCATGAAGACTTCAAATATGAGCCTCTGTTCCTGATACAAGATTGCTTCTAGCAGTGGCTCTGTCCTGCAGCAAATCATATCCCAATCTTTGCCTCTCCTTTCTTTTCACAAATCAGTCTTAAAATGTCTACCCTGCCAGATGCCAGTGGGTTTACACCTGCAACCCACTCCCAGCTACTGGGGAGGGTAAGATCTGGAAGACTGTTATTTGAAGCCAGCCAATATGCAAGAAAGCTAAGTGAGAGAATGAGGTTCTGAGTTCAAGTCCCTCAGTTCAAATGCAGGCACACAAAGAAAAACAGAAACAACAACAACAAAAAAACAAATCTGCCCTATTTTCTTTGGATGTCTTAAGGATTGAATGAGAGATAGGAATAATATAGTTTTTAAGTCTATAGTAATAACTTAGATTTTGTTCTAAATGCATCTATGATACCGCCATCACCCTTTATTCCTACAATGTAACTTTCCACCATCAATAGATTGCCAATCATTCTGCTCAAAAGGTTTGAACATGTAAAATTAGTATGACTGTTGGGCATAGTTGGTATGCATCAGTAATCTCTAGCTACTTGAGACAAGGCAGAAGGATTGGGAGTTCAGATCTAGCCTAGCAATGTTAGATTCTATCTCAAAAATAAAATATAAACAAAAGGGTTGGGGTGTGGCTTAAGTAGTAGAGCCCTTGCCTTCATGTGCTGGGCCCTGAATTCAATTCTCCAAATAAATGAACCAACAGATGAATTAATGAATAAGTACAAAAACTAGATGCAGTCTTAAGAGAAGGCTTACAAATGCTGCCTCATCCTTCAATACATACCTACAGATGTTGGCATCTCTCCCCACTGTAAAACCACGTCCTTCGTGATCCTTCCATATGTGTTCACATAAACCCCCTCATCTTCATAGCATACTAGAAGCTCCATCCCATCCGTGTTGGGGAGGATAATGATTGCATGGGGTTTAATGCTACATTGGATCTAGAGAAGAGGAACAGAGTGCAGGGGAGCATGTTTATAGCTATTTCCAGCCCTGTGAAAGTGCTAAGACTGTACCATAGGAAATAATATTTTAGAAAATCCATGTGACATATACCCACAAGTCTACCATTCCAGGTTATGTATTGACTCATATTTTCTGAGACTCTTGAGACATATTTGGATGGTAGGCTCCATTTGAGAAGCATTCCCAACTCAGAGGTGCTCTGGACTATAAGCAACTGCCCCAAACCCATCCCATGTTAGTCAAAGCAAAGATGAGATGACTTTAGGAAGGCTTCACAGTGCCAGGAAGGTAGATTTCCACCTGCCTTACAGCATGGAGCTACTGAAAATGATACTTCATTTAAATACTCACCCCCAAACCTGGGGAAATAAGGAAACCCTGCTTGTGTTAGTTCACTAAGCAGAGTAAAGGAAAAGTCAAAACAAAGTGAAGCCAGTCAACCAACCATAGAGTGTGGGTTCTTTCTTACGTGTGTTGGTAGATATATGTCATAGACTGATCCTGAATCCACATCAACAGCATGGAATCCAGCACAGGATCCATAGATCACTTTCAACCTCTGGCCTTCCTCAACAGTGAGATCCACCAATAATGGCTTATGTACCAATTCTCCAAATGACTACAAAGAAGTAATCAAGACAGAGCATTAGATGAAGCAGAACTTAGTCCTAGCAGCTCAGACTGGAGAAGCTAGGCCTAAGAGTTATTCCAATTATAAAATAAGATTTTATTATGCTAGTATATATATAATTAGTATCTGGAAGACATTTCTTCCAGAAATCAAGTCCCAAATCCCCCTACCTAGCCCAAGAATCAGTGCTATCACTTACTATACTGTTGTTTTTCTTGACCAGGAAAACATGAAAAATTAAACAGTGAAGACTTCCTGCAGAACATTTTTTGACTATTCTAAAGCAGTGTTGGAATGAGAAGTCCTAAGAGTCACATACTGAGAATATGATCCAACTGTCTACACAGTTACTAGGAGAGCTATAGATATCCCTTACTTTAATTTTCTCACTAAACAATAAGATCTAGTTTTGGATCTGTATTGTGCTAAATAGCTTCAGGTCTTTATTAATTAGCAGTATTGACAGCTCACAGGAATGGAATGGTGATGAAACAAAACAGGTTTAAATAAGATGATATGTATAAAAGCAACTAGTACTGCTCTTGGTATATAAAGGAACTAGGTTGCAAAATACATTATAATATTTTAATGAATTATCTTTATTCAAAAACACTAGTATTTACTTCCTAACTCATTCAGCTTCATGGGGAAAATAAGAAAAACCAACTTCAAAATATAAGTTTTCCAAAATATTGAAATTTACCCTTTCAAGCAAACAAATCAAAATTGTTTTAAGTAATTCTGTATGAAAAAGTCTTAATTTCTTATTTGCCACTATAATGGTTCAGAAGCTACTCTTAAGGTTTTGTGTCTAATATCAGAAATGATATTATTAATTCATTCCTAATGACAGCAATACCAATTTTAATTAAGAATTTCATAAACTTATATTTAGTATAAACTAAATTATATTATTAAAAATATGCATGAAAAATATTGATAATTTTCTAGTTCAAAGGGGTGTCGAAAAACAACTTTTTTCAAAATGCTAAATTTACTAAAAAAACCCCACAAAATTTATTCACTATTCTTTAGAAACATAATTCCCAGAGACATATAGGTAATTGAGTATATAGGTAATTGAGTATATAGGAACTCACAAATAGAAAACAGTCCTAATTTTTTTTATAAAGGCTCATTCATTTATTTTCCTAAAACTGTATGTACAATGGCAAAGCCATCATATTTAGGGGCAGTTGTAGGGTTTGAACTCAGGGACTCACACTCTGGCTTGTTTGGATGGTGCTCTACCCCTTGAATCACACCTCCAATTCTGCTTTTGTCTAGTTATTTAGAAGATGGTGTCACCAACTTTCTGCCCAGGATGGCTTCAAACTGTGATCCGCTGGATCTCAGCCTTCCAAGAAGCTAGGATTGTAGGCATAAATCACTAGCACCTGGCATTTTTTTTAATTTAAAGAAAAATAGGACTGTATTATATATATTTTAACTTCATTCATTTCCATTTCTTATGTTAAGAACTGCTGTAATTTTTAATAGGTATTCTACTTAGAACTGAACTGATGAATATTTTTCAATCATATATCGAGCTATTTATACATACTCATGTCTTTATATGAATATCTGCTTTTTAATGGATGATTAAAGTAATGTTTTATAGTATGGGTTTGAGAAGCAGCTAAGCTTATTATGTTACAAATTGCCTCTCTTATGACCAAACTATATTCTGTATTAACAGATAGTGTATTATATTATTCATTTTATTTTTTCAGGCTTTTTAAACTAAATCCCTAGCTTATGGCTTTTTAGCTTACACAGTTAATACTACTTTAAATGCACTTGCTGTTGTTACCTTAAAGGCCATAAATTTGTGATATGGCTTAGGTGCCCACGCATAGACTTCCACAGAACTCTTCAAAGCAATTACAAGAAATTTGATTCTTTCATATTTTACTGAAAAACAAACATAAAAAGCAAGATACGCATGTCAGTATCAACAAAGAACTTTATCTATCTTTTTCAAACTTTAAAAATATGCCTTGTAGCCAGGTGCTGGTGGCTCACACTTGTAATCCTAGCTACTTAGTAGGCTGAGATCTGAGGATGGTTCAAAGCCAGCCCGGGCAGGGAAGTCCGTGAGGCTCTTATCTCCAATTTAACCATCAGAAAATCACAAGTGGCACTGTGGCTCAAATGGTAGAGCACTAGCCTTGAGCTGAAGAGCTCAGGGACAGCACTCAGGCCCATTGTTCAAGACCCATGACTGACCAAAAAAAAAAAAGCCTTATATTGAGTCACTGAAATGAGCAAGGAAAAAAATGCAGATCAAGATCAAGCCATGTACATTCTTTTACCAATCTTCAATGTATAACCTATGATTTTCCATCTTCCGATCCTGATCCTGTGCTAGGTTCAATTCTAGTGTTCTTCTGTATATTATCAATGTATATTTTCACTAATGTTCCTAACTTTTTAGATTCTAAGTATTTTATTGTCTCGAGGGCCCAATATTACTTCAAAAGGTAATGGCATGACTGATGAGCCAAGAAGCTCCTGAATAACAAAGGAAGTATCTAGGGTCTTCATGGGGCTTTCATAGACTGAGGAACACAGAAGATTGTATCAAAAGAGTTCTGAGTATTGAATTCTACCAGGAAATCGAATTATCCATGCACAAGATCCAGTATTACTGTAGACCATAACTGAGTTCTAGAATTTTACCTGAAGTTAGGAGCCAGAATAGAAGCAGTAAAGCAAGTCTATTTTTAACCATAAAAAAAACACCTGCCTCCTTTCCATAGCAGTTTTGGATGTTTCATATACCCTTGGCCACATGTGACTTACTGCTCCCCTACACATATACCCACCCTACACATATACCTACCCATCTCTATACAAGCTAATATACTATTACTTAAATATTTGAAAAGACTTGTTGACTTGATAGCTTTCTTTGTTAAGATTATACACACTCTCAAAAACAAGAAATCAATGATATTATTAAGGCACTAAGGATTATAAAAGGCTGGCCAAACCAGCACTGCTTAGAATTTTCTGAAATGATAGAAATGCTGTATATGTATGCTAATACAACACAGCTCCTAAACACTTGTTGCTATTGAACACTTAAAATATATTCTAGGACCACTAAGGAACTAAATTTTTAAGATTTATTTAACTTCAATCAATTTAAGTATTTTTTAAATAGTCTCCTGTTCTTGGAGGCAACAGTAAACTTAATTAATGAATATATTGCTTACTCTTATATTCAGAAAATATCCGGGATACATTGTTTGAATTATGAAAAATTCAGCATAGCCTAATACTCCTTATCACAAGTACAGTTTCCCTACAGGATAATCCATTTATGTTATGACTGGTTTGTTACTGACTGGTTTGTTTATTAAATTTAGTTGTAGATGACCTTAGCACTAACTCATCAAATAAAATACTTCACAAACACACTGCACAGAAAATCACCTCAAAATCTATACCAAAGAAATAGCATTACTTTACAGCATCACTCAGAAGTATTCCAAATATTGTAGTGGATCCTATTATCATTGTTAACAATGAAAATGGGATCACAAATTAAGATATCAAGGATTATAAGAGGCTGACTAAACCAGCACTGCGAAATGATGGAAACGCTTTGCATCTGTATACCTATGCTAATGCAACTGCTATTAAACATGCGGCTATTTAACACCTAGAATATATACCAGGACTAATATTACATAAACAAGAAAAATGTCAAGAATTATATTCTTGGAAGCAGAAGAACAGACTATAGTATGGTATGTGCTTTCATAAATACATAAGAAGTATGCAAGCAAAAGTCAACATTTCATGGGTCCCTATCTTCAATTAGTCTTTGGTATATAAGTATTTCAAATACTACTAGTATATATCACCATTCCACTAAAACTTTAATTCAGCTTTCGTCCAATATTTTCTCTAACATTAGTACTAGTTTTTCTCCCTCACATATAATAAACAATTGATACTGGGTTTGCTCCAAGAAAAAAACAACACAGTTGCCATGTCACAGTGACCAGCCAGCCAGTCTCATTCATCAGAGAACACAGTAGTTCTGTTCAGTATAGTTGGTGTAAAACAACAAGCCATAATTCTACAGGCCAAATTCTCAAATGTTCTTACAGTGACTGCTCAGGATGCATCATCCTTCAAATAGAGAATGAACAAGCAGTATAAAGGAAGAATCAAGCCAGCTGGTTTATTTGGCAGAGATTCCTTTAAAAGGTTACTTTGAGCCACAAAAGGCATGGAAACTAATTTTTAGAAGGAGTGGAGGATTAGAGATGTTCAAAGAGTGTTCAAAGAGTGCTTGCCTAGGATGTACAGGGTCCTGGGTTTGATCCTAGCACTGAGAAAATAATTTGAAATAAAGTAATAAAAGGATGAAAAGACTCTCACGAGATAAAGATGTAGAGAAGACTAAGAACAGAGTGAGAACACAGATCCAACTCTGTGCTGTTTGTAAGTTCAGAAGTGTAGTGAGGCATTGCCTAAATGAGACTTCAGGTCAGAAGACACCTTAGAAACAGAACACCACAAAGGAGTCACCACAAGGAGTTTTAAAAACAGATTATTACTATAAATTTCAAAGAACACATGAATCATGAACTAAACCATTATTAAACTCTGAAAAAACAAATCACTTAAAATCTAATATAACATACCAACTTTATAGTGTACACATCCTTCCAAATCTCCTACGGTTGTCCATCCTTGCTTCTTCTCAACTTCTGGATCATTGTGAAGTATTTTATTTCGTAACCAGGACAAATAGTAAACACGTAATTTATCCTTTTTGCCTAGCAAAATAAATATAAGTATTTTACAATCATGTACAACAAAAAGATTTCTTCAAAGAAACTTCTATAAATAGTAAATTTTATTCACCCTGAGGAAATTATTTTATATAGGTTTTATCCGAAATTCAATTTAAGCTTTTCAGATGAACTTTTGAAACTCCTATAGAACTATCATTGGGCATAGGCAAAGTTGAGAAGGTTTTGAAAGAATAATAAATTCACACTTACTTCAGAAATAACAGTTATAATGTAATACTGTGAAATAAGTATTATCCCTGTTTACTGCCATACTCCTAAACCAAATTCTGTACTGGACATCAGTGGCTCATGCCTGTAATCCTAGCTACTCAAGAGCTTAGATTTGAGGATCAAAGCAGGAAGCCAGCCAGGGCAGACAAATCCCTCTAACTCTTATCTCCAACTAACAAGCAAAAAATCCAAAAGTGGAGGTGTGGCTCAAGTGGTGGATTATCAGCCTTAAGCAAAAAGCTAAGAGAGTGAAAGGCCCTGAGTTCAAGCTCCAATACTGACATTAACACACCTTCACACACACACACACACACACACACACACAACACATCTACTCACATGTACACACAACTATATTATCACTAAAAACACTTAAACAGGTATAAATTTAACAAATAGCCCTTTTCAAGATCTAGTTTAGTAAAACAAAACTGATGAAAGATACTAAAGAACATCTGAACAAATGAAGAAACATTCCATTTCATGGACAAGGCCCCACACTTTCAAGATGTCAGCCCTCCCAACTTGATCAAGCACTCACAAATTTGCACATGATGTACACACATGCCTAGTAAACATACAACACAAACGAAGGGAGGGATGTATGGTGGGAGAAGAGAGAATCCAAGTGGACCTTAGATTCGGCAATAACTTTGTAGTTAAAAACACAATCCAGGGGAAGGGAAAAAACAAATCGTTTAAATAGGGATACAGGTGGACCCACTGCCACAATGAGATGTATAAGTTGCTATGTCAAAAAACGAACTTTACAACTTTGGCCAGGGGTGGGAGATGGGAAAGGATGGGAAGGGGAAACAAAGAAGGAGGCAACAATGCTTGATAAGAAATGTACTCATTACCCTGCTCATGTAATTGTAACCCCTCTGTATTTTCACACACACACAAAAAAATACCACAATCCATGAAAGAAAAAAGCAATCATTAAAATACCAGAAGATACTGGTAAAGAAAATGAGTAGTAAGTCACAGGGAAAAAGTATGTATAAAATACTTAAAAATCTTCTAAATAAAATAAAGTCTTAAAACTGAAACATAAGAAAACAGCAATCCAATTAGAAAACAGGCTAAAGATCTAAGCAAGGTACTTTACCAATGCAATATACAGATGACAAATAAATGTATGAAAAGACACTCAAGTTTTCATATATCATTAAGGAACTCAAAACAATAAGACTCCACACTAATAGGATGGCTAAAATGCAAAAACAGTGACAATACAAAATGCTAACGGAGATGGAGAACAACCAGAAACTTTCATTTATTGCCTGTGAATGCAAAATGATACTGCCATTTTGAAAGATAGTTTGGCAGTTTCTTACAAAACCAAACAGTCTTAGCATATACTCCAGTTAGTTGGGTTCCTGAGCATTTGTCAAATATGAGGTAAAAGCTAGTTCATAAAAAAAAAGCTTCAAAAAAACTTATATGTTCTTGACAAAGCTTAAAAGCAACCAAGATGTCCTTCAATAAGTTGATTTCCAACTCAGCTGTTTCTTCTCATGGATTATGCTTTTAAGGTTGTACCTAAAAAGTAATTTGCCAAGTCTAATATAATGGAATATCACTCAGAAATATAAAAGAATGAGGTATTAAGTCACCAAAAGACAGGAAGGAACCAAAATTGTGACGCACATATTCACACACACACACACACACACACACACACACACACACACACACACACACACACACACACACACACACACACACACGAGATGTTCTGGGTAAGAAGCCAATCTACAAACCTAAGGCTACATTACTGTATGATCCAGATTCATAGTCATACAAACTTTATACACTGCATGATACAACTTATGACCTTTTTGAATACGAAAAAGATATGGAGATACTGAAAAAGAATATGATAATTTGGCAACAAGTGATCATTGTTCCTAGAACCTCAGGAAGAAGGATAAATAGAAAGCTTTAGGGCATCGAACTATTGCTAAATAATGGCAGATCCCTTCCATCTGACACAGTTAAGAGAATGAGTAAACTCTAACATAAACTTTAATAGTGTCTTAAAATAATATACCACAAATGTGCCACTAATACAAAATGTTAGTAATAGGAGAAATTGGTTATCTGACACATTCTCCTCTCAGGTTTCTGCAAACTAATATTGCTGTATTTAATTTAGCCAATACATTAGAAAATGAGGTAACAGGTTCTAGAATATTTGTAAACCAAGTCACAGTTCTGCTTTACACTTACCAGAAATAGTCACCAAGACGTTTAAGCCCTCAAGCACATCCATTTGCTGAAATCTCCTTCTGTTGATGAGAGGATAAACCTTCCCTTGTCCACTTCTGTCCAATAGCATCAGCCCGCTCTCTGTGCCCACTAGCAAATTCACTCCTGTTTCAAGGACACAGAAAGGCCTGAATTTTATGCTATAATTGGCAAGCAGCTATGTTGTAAGGAAGAATAACATTCCTTACTTGGAAAGAAGTTTTCTTAGAAACTCAGAAAAAGAAATTCTTAGAATAGTTGGAAAGCTAAAGCAACCAAACTTGCAATGCACCAGTATATGGAAGTGATAGAGACAAAATTTTATTTAAGAATAAGATGTAACGGACACCTCATCCCTTCAACTGCCTTCACAATCCATCCTTTCCTCAGTTTCCTTGTGCTATAAACTCACTTATCTTGTGGCTTTATATATCCTACACCTATTTGGCACAACAGATACTTGAACAAATGTTTCTCTGTTACAATGGTCTCTCCATGTTTTCTTCACCTTCATTGGCAAACTATTGGAATATGTTATATTTATAGACAGAGCCCTCTATAAATCTTTATCAGTTTATGATCTGGCTTTTATCATTCAGTCTCCACCATCAGCAATACAATTGCATTCAGTTCTCCCAATCTTCACTTCTTAGGAATATTTAAATACTGGGACCTGCCCTGTATCTCATCCAAACTCTGCACATAGACTTCCCTGGTTTTCCAATTCTTCTGCTGGAGAGAGCAAGTTCCTGTTTCTTTATCCCTTCTCAGTTTCTTACAAAGATGCTGCTGCTGCTTGCTGAGTGCTGACATACATTCCCTCCTGAGCTCCAGCATATCTAAGAAACAATCCACAATTTCCCTGTGTTTCCATTTGGTACAGCCTTCTACTGCAACCGTTTTTCCCACTTAGGAAAGTCAGCTAATTATCACCAGAGGTAATACCTCTTCTTTCTGCCACTTCCTTTTCCTTTCCTTTGTTCTCACTCTAGTTTATACCTTGACTACCTTACAACTGATAAACAAAGATGTTCATTTACATTTTTGTAAAAATTGCTACTTTCTTTATGACTACATATTAATTTGTAAATTTTACATGTCTACATTAAGGCTCCCTTACAAAATAATTTGAAGACATATAAATTTTTAACTTAGCAATAAATAAAATTTTTAATGCTTACATTAGGACTGCCTGTTCCTGATTATTTTAAGAGGCTACTAAAACCTATAAAAATTGAAAAATTGTATCCAAAAAATTCTATGTAGGCTGACAACAAATGCTTTACAATTCCATTTCAATTCAGTGATAAATTATGATACTGTAGGCAAAGCAATATATTAAGTGCAGATAATTCATAATGAACATAAATAGAAAATAATCATGATCAAAATGATGTGCCAAAGTAACTGATTCCAACAGGGGGGAAAAACACCTCATTAAAAACACAATAAGCAGCTGGGTGCCAGTAGTTCATGCCTGTAATCATAGCTACTCAGGAGGCTGAGATCTGAGGATCACAGTTCAAAGCCAGCCCTGGCAAAAAGTCCGTGAGACTCTTATCTCCAATAAACCACCAGAAAACCAGAACTGGTGTTGTGGCTCAACCGGTAGAACACTCGCCTTGAGCTGAAGAGCTGAGGGACAGCGCCCAAGCCCAGAGTTCAAGCCCCACAACTGACAAAAACAAAAACAAACACAATAAGCCAGGCAACCAGTGGCTCATACTAGTCAACCTAGCCATTTTGGAGGTTGAAAGCCTAGGGATTGTAGTATGAGGCAAGCGAGAGAAGGTAAGTTCTTTGAAATTCTTAGCTGGGTACAGTACATTCCTCTTTCATTCTAGCTTTGTAGGTGGCTGAAACTGGAAGGACTGCAGTTCCAAGCCATCCCGCACAGAAAAGTTTTCAGGACTCCATCTCAACAGAAACTGGGCATGGTAGTGTGCAACTACCATCCCAACCACTGTGGAAAGTCTAAAATAAGTGAACTGAAGTATACAGGCACACTTGAGCAGAAAATGACACCCTATCTAAAAAGTAACCAGTACAGAACAGTAGAACACTTGTCTAAGAAGCACAAGGTCTTGAGTTCAAACTTAACTATTACCAAAAAAAATTGTGCCAGTAATAAGTAGTAAGCCAGGCACATTAATGTATGTTTATAGCCCCAACTATTTTCGAGGCTGAGGTAAAGGGATGGCTTGAGCCCTGGAAATTCAAGGCCAATCTGAGCAACACAGACTCCTATCTCAAGTCTGTAAAGCTAGTTTCTTAGTAGGTAGAAAATAGGGTATTGTGGTTGGAGGCCAGCCCAGGTTAAAAATTCTTAATCAACATCTAGGTGTGGTCACACACATCTGTCATCCCAAGCTAAGGGAAACATCTGTCATTCCAGAGCAAAGAGAAATACAGACTGGAGGACTGCAGTTTAGTCCAGCCTAGGCATGAAGCAAGACTCTTAAAAATATGTAATTGAAAATATATGATGTAGCACTTTACAAAGTAAAAACTAGTTATTTAAGATGATTAAAAAAGAATGCTTAATGCAAGCATTTTTAGTCAGTACAAAGCACTAACCTAACCTTTGTGTGGACTTTACAATTCCAAAATAATGCTAGCTCTAACATATTCTGAATTTTCTCCAATATGGATATGGCTCCAATAGTAAAGGTTTTAACTTTTTTGAGTCTGAATCTTATAAAGAGACTCATTTTTAACTTAAGAGGAAATCAGTGAGTGCTATCATAGTGGTCTAAGAAAATCAATCCCTAGTCAGGTGCCAGTGGCTCACACCTATAATCCTAGCTACTCAGGAGGCTGAGATCTGAGGACTGTGGTTCAAAGCCAGCCTACACAGGAAAGTCTGTGAGACTATCTCCAATTAAGTATCACCCCCCACTAAAAAAAAAAAAAAAAAAAACAGAAGTGGAGTTGTATCTCAAGTAGTAGAGTGCTAGCCTTGAACACAATAATTCAAGGACAGAGCCCAGATCCAAAACAAAAAAAGAAAAAAAAAATCAACTCCTGAAGTGCTTCTACCCAAGAGTATCTCAAAGATAGTAATTTATAGAAATATTTTTCAATGTTGTCATTTCTCTAACTAGTCTTTACATGATGATAAAAGAGGAAGTTGCACTGCATCCCCCTCCCCTTTTTGTGCCAGTACTAGGGCTTGAATTTAGGGACTCAAACTTTCTTGCTCATAGCTGACACTACCAACTCCAGCCTTACTTCTTCTAAGTTATTTTGGAGACTGAGTCTCACAGATGTTTTTACCCAGGCTGTCTTTGAAATAAGATTCTCTGATTTCAGCCTCCTTAGTAGTTAAGACTACAGGCATGAGCCACTGGTGCCAGGTAGTTTCACTGCATTTTTAAAAATACAGAATTGAAATACTCCCCAATTTTCTTAAAAGTATCAAAGAAGCTATTTAGAAAAAAAAGTTTTAGAAAACTTCTAGTTCATAGAAAAAAACAGCAAAAAGCAACCAGTCAAGAGTGTGTGTGTGTATTTATATGTGTGTGTGTGTGTGTGTGTGTGTGTATATATGTATATATATGTGTGTGTGTATATATACATATATATAGTGAGAGAGAGCGGGGTGGGGGTGGAGTGGGGCGGGGCGGGGTGGGGGGTTGTCCAGAATCCCCTAAATCATTGGAGAAATGTAAGACTCTGACCAAGCCAATCTATTCTGGACAAAATGCCATCTGGTAAACATGGGTCACCACCTACAAAGAGAATTGACATGCTCTACACATTTATACACTGAATGTAATATAATAATTTTTGGGGATATAAACACTCCCATTTGAGTCCTTTACTATAAACTAAAATGATGAGCACCCCTACTCTGTGAAATGATGGCAACTGACATTTACTGAGAAAAAAACACTGTTGATGCTGTACCAGGTGCTGACATGTAATGGCCTTATCCCTGAAAAAGCTATTCTTTACCTTAGTTGATAATAAAGAAAAATCCTTATGACATGATCATCACAGGCTTTAAAGTATGCTTTAGTTGTCACAAAGGCAGAAATCCTGACATTACAAGATAAACAAGTTGGTATATTTCTAATAGGTATTGACAACTGCTCCAGCAACCTTGAAAGAGAGGAGCTAAACAGGAGCTTAGTAACATGGCAAAAGAGAAGCCAAGGATAGACTAAAGTAAAAAAGATGGATGAGAAGGACAGAGCTCCTTCTTCAATGAAAGTAGTAGTAATAGGAACACACTGATGTTCAAAAGATGAAGTTGAGGGCCTCATGTCAACATCACAGATTTCCATACATGCAAAAGGAAGAGAATGGCTATGCATGAGTATCCTGGTGGTGAGGAGAGGAGAGCTGGTTCACCACTGTGGGGAATGTGGCAGACATTGATATTTAATGAATATACTTGGGGAGCATGCACCACGGAACTCAAACCAATGGATCTCTCATGCATTCTGCTCAGTTATATGTATAATAACAAAGGAGTAAGAGACTATTTTCTTGTTAAAACAGTTAATATAGTGTTGAAGGCAGTGAAAAACAAAAACAAAACATGAGCTAGAATACAAAATAAGGACAAGTACAGGCCGAGGGCTAGCAGAAAGTTAAGCTTCAGCATTTGAGAAGGCAGTGATGCCTGTGTGCATGAATGTCCTCTTACACTGTCTTAAGTTCTGAAATGCTGCACAAACACAGGCAGGTCAACAGTCCTTCCTATAGATTTTTTTAACCATTTCTAGTTCCTTTATTTTTATTATTTTTTTTACTACAATTTTTATTTAAAATTTTTATTATAAAGGTGATATATACAGAGGGGTAATAGTTACCTAAGTCAGGTAACGAGTACATTTCTTTTTGAACAGTGTTACCCCCTCCCTCATTTTCTCCCAGTTTTTTTCCCTCCCACCCCACTTCCCCACCCAAATTGTATAGTTCATTTCCAACACAGTGTCTAGTGAGTATCACTGCTAAATTAGTTCACCCTTTGTCCCACCATTTCTCCTACAAATTTTTGATCAGCAACTGTTTTTTTAAGTCTTGTTTAGATGCTAGTCCCAAGTCACAGAAAACAAGGGGGGAAAAAAATCTAACGTTTAAAGCAATGCATCTGGCCCAGGTGCTGGTGGCTCATACCTATAATCCTAGCTACTCAGGAGGCTGCCACCTGAGGATCATGGTTTGAAGCCAGCTAGAGCAGGAAAGTCTGTTATATTCTTCTTTCCAATAAACTTCCAAAAAACCTGGAAGTGGAGCTGTGGCTAAAATGGTAGAGAGCTAGCCTTGGGCAAAAGAAGCTCAGGGACAGTGCCCAGACCCTGAGTTCAAGGCCATGGACTGAAAAACAAAAACAAAAACAAAATTATTTTTTTTAAAAAAAGCAAAGCATCTAAATGAACTTCATCCAAACATGGGCCAAGTGTTGTTTCATCCTTTCATAGCTCCCCTTTACATGAAGAAACTAGTCCTGATCATTCTTTCTAATGCCCAGTTACTGAGATGACTCCAGGCACAGCATGTACACTCAATCCCACTAATGCACACTTAGCCACAGGAGGGGAATTACAGGATTCACTGGCCTTTGCGCCCCCCCCCAATACCGCTCCAATATTCAAAGGTTATTTTCTAAAAAACAAGTAACAATCTTCCCTTCAAATAAAAATAAATGGCAGTAAATACCTACCCCATAAGGCAGCACACAGAATCTCCGAGTTAAACCTCTTCTTATATTTACGAATTTCGGGGGTGTCACTCTGTGGCCTAGTGTTGGTAGGGTTCACATTGACCACTGAGCCCTTCCTGGTAGGATCTTGCCTTATGGCTTCAGGTCTCATTCCATCACAGGAAAATCCTACTGAAATACAATACATTTGAAATTATTTTCTGTACACATGTACTACTCCTTTCTCTCTTCTTCACTATACAACAAGCAACTACTCATATACTATAACTAATATTCTGAAAGAAATGCTTATGGAAATTGACTATGTAGCCGACTGTAAATAAGGCAATACAAGTGGGACAGGAGGCTTCTGTACTTGAGGTTTGTGCCTAGCAAAACCTTCAAGCTATGCTTAAGCCACCTGAAAGAACTATGTAAAGGGACCAACCAAGACCTATTTCACCTGCTTTCTTGTCGTTGCTGTTACTTACCCACAGAAGTTACTGTTGTTCCACTAGATGGAGAAATTTGTAGTAATCTGGGGTCTATAAAAGGTGTAAAGGAGGAGGAAGATTTGTGTTTCTGGAGTGTGCTACTAGCGGACTGAGTCTGCAATGTAAATTTCAATTTCATTAATACAAATAACATTTAAAAAGTGAACATTAAAAACATTTCAATCCATTTTTCTATACTATTCCCAATCCAAACTCTGGTCTTCCTGCATCTTTCCCCAAAATCATTTTCACAGGGAGTCTCTATGTGGCACCCCTATGGCCACACCACCAGCCATTTCACTTGCAGTCACTCGAAGAGTCAAGCCTCTGCCAGAAAGAAGTGAATTTCTGACATTGAGGCTGCCAACTACCAATAAACTTATACTCTGGACTCCTAGTTATTTCTTCAAAAATAAAATAAATGATTATAATGTAAATTCCTAAATGAAAGCTGAAATTTCTTCACCTCAATTCATCACCTTCTGACTATATCTACTTGCCTACAAAAGTCCAATTTATCTATACTGGAATACTGACAGAAATTTTATTCTATTATTTTAACTTGGGCTTTCTGCCAGAAAACCCCAGGAGCTTTGGCTCCTCTCTGTTTAGGTGCATTACCCTAAGACCCATACCCAATGGGCTTGTAAGTGAAAGGTGCGAGTGACAAAGTAAAGCGTATCTTCTGGGATCTTTTAGGAGCACTAGTGTTTGGTTAATAATGTAACTTAACACCAAAAAAAAAAGACACAAAAAGTGAAACAAATTGTTAAGTGAAAATGTAATGATGATTAAAAACAAAACAAACGGAAAAAGAAACTTGCCAGTTTAGTGAGTTAAGGGTTATAGTAAAATATAGTAAAATGGAGCAAAGTGTAAAATATAAACATAAGAAGGAATAATGTGAGTATAAGTGGAATGTATATATCTCAGGGGAAAAAAGAACATGTCTGATCCAGTACTTTTGTCCTGTACCATTTCACTCATCATGGGCACCTGAAAGTCACCATGTCTTCTGCCCAAGCCCTCTCCTAAACTCCCCACCTGACTTGTGTGCTAATTCACAGGCATTCCTCTGCTTCATGAGCCAGTGGCTGACCCAACCAATAGCCAATCTAACGCTGAACTGGGGAAGCAGTCAACTTGCACAACTTAGGAACGGATTGTTCTGATTCTTTCTTATGAGAAAACCAAAGTAGGAGCAGCAGTCAGTTAAGGGTTTACATTAACAAAATTGGCTGAAGCTATAGTTCTGACTCCTTGGGTATTACACTAAAGGCTCATCTGGGAAGTCAGATCACTGTGTAAGTACAGGGTGTTAAAGGCAGGCTCTCACTGCTCTTGGACATGACCATACTCAAAGAACAAAAAAATCATCCAGCTAATACTCAACCACACGGCATAGCCATGCCACAAATGCACAGGAGTTCCCATACAAAACCTGAATTAAAAGCACATTTCAGATCTTAGTCCTTGCTTAATATTTTCCTAGATTTCTCCCAAAAGCCTTTGGCCTCTTCTTAAAACTGAATGGCTAAATTTCCTGGAAAGAAACCCTTTTGTAAGAGTTGGTATAAACAAGATAACCAACCAGGAAACTCCTCCCTCTAAAAAAAAACAAAAACAAAAACAAAAGAAAACAAAACACTAAATCCAGGCCTGTTTGAAGGAGATTCCCATATCCAAGTCAAGTTTGTGCAGGTAGGCCCAAGTCTGAATAACCAAATTTTCCTATACTTCACTATTGTAGAAAGAGATTGAAAAAGCAGATTTCACATTATCTACAAGAATTTCATGCCAAATACACAATGGATCTGAGAACACAGCAATCATTTCATTTAGATTTAGAAAAATAAACTGAATAAAGCCATGCAACTACACTTATCCAGAGAAAGTAAATGGTGAACTAGCAAGTTTGGAAGGAAATCCATCTAGGGTTAAGAGGTCTGTATGCAGATCTGAAACATGTTACTTGGGGGATTGGGAAGAGGGTAGGTGACAGAAGAAAGCAGGGGTAGGGAAGGAGAGGACGTTGGGAAGGGCTCCTTTGCAAACTAGCTCCTAGGCAATGCCGGTCTAACCCCAGGAAAGCAGCCAGCTGTGGTGTGAGACATACCTCATTAGCAGTGAGCTTGTCCTGGGGTGTCTGTGGGGACATGGTGGGTGTCGGCTGGCTGGAGGATGGGGAGGAGGAGGTGGAGGAAGTGGAGGAGGAATGGCTTTGCTGTAAGAGATCTGGCAAGAGGTGAATGCGACCGGCAAAGCCATTGCTCTCATGATGGCTGGCACGCTTTTGGTCAACTGTACTCTGTAGAAAAAACAGGCATACTGGTCTCGCTCAAGCGCTGCTGACATTGCCTCCAACCCTACAGATAACTGCTTTGTTTAAGGCGCTGTGTAACTTTGCAAACTCTTAAATTACCAGGGAGAAGTTATGGAAACTAGTCTAAATTGCTCACAGTTCCTCACTAAAATGCACTGAGCCAACAGAATTCAAGGTACTGCATCTGGTGGCCGCACAACTTAAGCAAGACATGCTTCACCTGGTCATGGGTGCCACGAGCTGGTTGCAGGCCATTATCCCTTATTTTCATTCGTAAATCTTTCTTTGTAAAATTCTAGAGAGTACCCTGTGGCTTCTTCGAGTCCTGGTCTTTCCCACCTACTTTCCATCCAAATGCACTGCCCTAGCATGAAACAAGCTTAGGACAAAGTCCCAAAGGCCATCTCGGTGCCCTGTCCTATTTCAATGAGGAGCATTATCACTTGGATGAAGTCAAAGCTAAGAATGCTGTAAAACTAGTGATCCAAAGTGAATATATCTTGTAGCACACATTTAATTCTTCAACAAGTGGGAAGACTAACACAGAAGAGAGACCTCCTGACCTTTGTGCCAAGAGTCTCTATAGGACTGGGATGAAACCTGCCCTGCCTGCCTCACTTGCTCCTGCTGCAGCTCCACAGACACTGAGAGTTGGGTACTCTCAGCAGAACCTCTATGGCTGCTTACCACAGGCTCCAGATCTGTGCCCTCACTCTGTGAGCCTGAAGAGGACTCCCTGTGACTTTCCAACTGTTCAGACACAGACTGTGAGACTTAGCGTGGTGCTTGAATGAGGGCTGCCGCAGGCATGCAGAGGAGCAGCAATGTGGGGTGGAAGACTACTGACTACCTTAGTTGCATGCAGCACACACCTGCCTCCCTAGCCCCAGACACACTACCTTTAGGGCCTTGTTAACATGAAAACAGATGATGATGTAGAAACAGCATGAGTGAGTGAATGAGCAAGTGGGTTAATGACTACAGGAGAAGCTCAGCCTCTGACAACGGGAGGAAGACATGGGTACCTGGCGGACGATTAGAGTGCCCTCCTTGGAAGGGGTCACAGCTGGTTCACTTTCAACATCATCATGAACTATCATGGTTTTCACAGATTCTGTTTCACCATTGCTCAAATTCAGAGATGACCTAAGAAGGGAAAATCAGACATGAAGGGCACTACTTCCAGAAGTTGAGGACATCCTGTTGAAAATTTTTTCATCTTCTCAGTCAAGGTTCAGATGAAAATACACGTATAGCATTTCTTCAAGGAAAGCAAAGGTTTAGCTCTAGAACTCCAAAAAGGATTTCCTTGCAGTTTAAGTTTATAGAGTACTTCTTGTCAATTAAAAGAGTTACACTAAACTGAAATTTCCCTTCTGTCACATCTTTAAATGAAAAGAAACACAGAGAAAAGGGAATTAGATACAAAAACTGCCCTGTGTGTTGCAAGTCCAACAAAACTACACGTCAATGGTCACAGACTCATGTGACAGGTTTAGGGAAAAAGGCCTCATCCTCCCTAAAACACCCAGGACTGACGCTGCTCTGGTGTCCTCTGTTCCTGAGGTGGACTCATCAGCCCCTTCCTGTTCCACGTCATCATCCTCCTCATCTGTGGTTCCTGACTCTTCACTGGAGGATGAGTAGTCTGTCACTTTGTGAGGTGGCCGCACATCTTCTACTGCTCGAAGCTCTTTGGCCAGTGCAGTCAAATCCTAAGCAGTGTAGAAAAGAGAAAGGTAGGTGAAGGGGGAAGTAGGAAGAGAACAGATGAGAAGCCCTATAAATTACCACAATGTCTATTTTAGAAAACTATTATATATAATATTTACTAGTTTCAAGTGAAAATGAGTTTTTATGACTTTTTGTAGAAAGGGAGGAAACATAGGTAAAAAATAAAAAAGAGGGGCTGGGTTCGATTCCTCAGCACCACATCAGCAAAAAGAAAAAAGCCGGAAGTGGTGCTGTGGCTCAAGTTGTAGAGCGCTAGCCTTGAGCTGAAGAGCTGAGGGACAGGGCCTAGGCCCAGAGTTAAGGCCTCACGACTGGACCCCCAAAAAAATAAAAATAAAAAATAAAAGAGGGCTGGGAAGGTGGCTCAGTGGTAGAGCGCTTGCCTTGCATGCATGAGGCCCTGAGTTTGATTCCTCAGCACTACATAAGCAAAAAGAAAAAAGCCAGAAGTGGCGCTGTGGCTCAAGTGGTAGAGCACTAGACTTGAGCTGAAGAGCTGAGGGACAGCACCCAGGCCTAGAGTTCAGGCCCCACAACCAGACCCCCCCACCCCCAAAAATAAAATAAATAAATAAATAAAATAAAAAATAAAAAAGAAAGTCAAAGATGTTCTACAACAAGTTAAATAACAATGCCTATAGTAAGATGACAGCATTGCTATTGTTTTAAATGTAAGTAAAATTTGACATCTTGAGCTTTGTTTTTTGTTTTTTTTTTTTTAATTTTTATTTGTTGTCAGTTGTGGGGCCTGAACTCTGGGCCTGGGCGCTGTCCCTCAGCTCTTCAGCTTATGGCTAGCACTCTTCCACTTAAGCTACAGCGCCACTTCCGGCTTTTTCTGTTTATGTGGTGCTGAGGAATCGAACCCAGGGCCTCATGCATGCGAGGCAAGCGTTCACCTTCCAAACCCTTTGGAGCTTTGTTTTAAAGACATCAGCCTATGTAACAAATTTCTTTCTAGGGAACTGATAATCTGAAAACAAACTTCTAGTTTAATAGATCTGATTATTTGTTTAGGTTCTGTTTCTTCAAACTTTTATTAAGAAACCTGAGAAAAATAACAATGACAGGAGTACCAGTATATAAGTTATGTCTCAGTTTGCTATTAGAAACTGGCCACATTCTGATAAGGGCCATGCAGGGAGAAAGAGGCCAGGTGATCCGGGACCCCCCTCTCCCACCCCCCAGTTGGTCTTCCATCCAGCATTACGCTTATTTCTCCATGATACTACCAGTCAATGTGAACATGAGAAGGGGGGGAAAAAGCCTCCAAAGGGCTTCATTTTCCTTTATTCCTATAGACTGAGATATTTTAAGATTCTTATCAATTTACCAGATAATTTTCACAAGTGACTATACTCCACATTATAATCTCAAATATAAATTTTATTTTTCTATTGGGTAATTTTTTTAAGCTAAGTATTTTCTTTTTAAAAGAAGTTGTTTTCTTCTTCTTTGCACTTGAGAATACATTTTGTGTTTGAACTTGAGCCTCTGAAATAAGAGTGATCAAGTGTGGGGCCAGAAGTCCTATTTTATGTTTACAGTATCAGCTTTTCAAAGAGTTGTTCAAAAAGCTACATTTAATCACAACAATATGGAGCATTTTACCCAGTAAGAAAGCTGAAGTTGTAAAAGCTCAAGGTTTTTAAAACCTAGAAAAAGAACTAAAGGCAAATTGAGGAAGAGGTGCTAACTCTGTTTACTGGTCAGCAGACCTACTACGGTGGGGTTCTTCAGAGAAGGGGCTTACCACTTCGCCCTTCAGGGTGCAGCAGTTTCAGAGTCCAGGAAGGAGTGCAGCAGTAAGAACAAAAATTGGGGGAAGGATAAGGGAGGGAAGAAGTGCAGAAATCAGTTCAAGCAAGAAATCAAAACTCAACCCTCTTAAAATTTCACAAAACGCCCACAGTTACATGGCAGGTTAATATGACAGAGGAAATATAAGAAGCAGTCATAACTATCGCCCCAGAGACCAAAAGAATTTAAGCCACAGGTGAGTTTAAAAAGGTGACTTTATAAAGTGTATTTTAAAAGCCAGTACTGCAAATGTCCAAACTCATTAAGAATAGTTAAAGGTTAATAAAAGCAGAGCAATTAAGAAGTTATTCCTATTAAGAAAATTTCATTAAATAAAAACTACACTTTGTTCTGTTTCTTTGTGAAGCTGAATGAACAGAAAATGTATACTGAAACATTAAAAGAAAGGTTTCATTCCCGTAAGGACTCTTCATTGGAAATGTGATGCCTCAGGTGAGAAGGTACAAAAATGAATTTTAAGACATTCTTCCTAATTACTAGTGGCTGAGAGGGACCCAAAGGAAAGAACTGTGGGCCTCAATTGCCCCTTTCTGTTGTAGTGCTAGAGACTGAGCCTGGGGTCTCTCTTGTGTGCTAACCACTTCTTACTGCTGAACTATATTTCTACCCACTCAACCACATTTTTAATACAAAGATCTCTCTCATGTGTGAAATAAGAGATTGGTTTTGTGCAATTCTTACAGCAGGCTTGAGAGGTCTAAACACTTCTTTTTTATCATCAGGTTTTTTTGCTGCATTTTCAAGGCGCTGAGATGGAGAGCCTTCTGACTTGGATGATGCTGTTAATTTTAAGAGATAAGAAAGGTAGACATACATAAGATAAATAGATGCATGTCACAAAATTGTCCCAGCCAATCCTGCCTTCTGTTTCTCCCTGCTTACCCAATGCTTGCTTTTTGGGGCCCATTTATAGAAAAGTCTGAACATGCATTCTGAAACCTAGGTTAAAATAAGTCTAGGGGGCCTGCCTCTGGTAGTCTTTCTGATATCTTTCCTGTAAAATCCACACTCTGCTTAACAAAAGTTAATATCTTATTATGTCAAGAACACCATGGGGTTTTCGCTTTCTACTGTTATGTCATCAATAACTAATACTGATGCAGCATAAATCCTGAAGCCCAAACTGGAAGAAATGGATTCAAATCCCACCTCAGATATTCATATCACCTTGGGCAAGTAAGTCAGTTAATCACATTCAGTTGAAATGTATTCTCAGTGCTAGGTATGTGTAAAGCTCCAGATATTTAGCTTTCTAATAAAAATAATAACTCTAATGACATGTCATTAGCAATCTAATCAAAAGCATTGCTTTTATGATATGCAGCTACAGGAAAAACATAGATCTTTTATACAGACGAAGGACTTCCAATACATAGCCTAAAGTTGTTCACAGGCAAAGAGCAAAGGACAGATCACCTACATCTCACTCTGAAGCGTTCACCAGAGCCACTCTGAGAGCCAGGATGGGACCCTGGCTGAGATCCTGAGTTGCTGGATCCGGAGGAGCTGCCACTGCCTGGCCTGGGCACCAGCTTCTCCACTCGCTCCCATAGGAGCCTGGGCTCAATACTGCTGTTAGAAAAGAAAACACCTGCTGCATCATCCCAAACCAATACAAAAAACATGTACTGGACATATGAAATAGAGGGATAAGAGGATGACTTTAAAATAGCTTTTAATACTCTATTACCCAGAGTTATAAGGGCTTCATTCCTAGATTTTTATCTCAGATATCAAAAATAATTTTAAAAATTCCAAATAATGTTGTTTACCTCTTTTGTTACAGCTACAAACTCAGACTGTGAAAAATACCACATACAATTACACACAAACTATCTTCTGTGTTTAGGGTCACCCATCTACCACAAGTCTCATATCCTGAGCACTCAGAGTGTACCCCTTTGAATATGGGGAATGTTATAGAAAGTATGGGCTGGGCCAAGGTTCTTCTCATAGAACCACAGCACTCACCTGGTAGGTGAGAATTCATGACACAGTCAGTCACAGGAGAATACACAGTATTCCCCAGATATTAAGTGCTAATGGGCTCCTTGAAGCTACTAGGTTACCATCTGCCTTACCACTTCAAGTTATACTAAGACTGTGCAAGTGGCAAAGGACAATCCAAGAGGTTCAGTGATCATTAAGTTATGCAATACTTAGAATAACGATCTCTTCTTTTCTACAACAGTGCTGACAAATGGAACTTTTCTACCATCATGAAAATGGTGTATATCTGAGCTGGTATTTAGCCGCTACTTACAAGTGGCTATAGGCCATTGATACAATTAATACATTGTTATTTTAATTAAGTTAAATTCAAATTTAGCAAGCCTCATGTGGCAAATAGCTACCATATTGGACAGAACTGCTCTAACCCCCACCCCCAAAAAACATTATTTGGCAACTTACCAAATATTACAATATTTACCATAGACTATTAGTGACCACAGATATTTTTCAGTAACTTGTCTGTGACTTCTATTTTAAAAGGCTTATAACTTCCTTTAGATAGAAAGTTCTCTCAGATTCTAAGTCTCTTAGAACCTGGCCTTCATTCCTTAGCAATCTCCTGCAATGATCCCTAAAATTACTACTAAATACACCCAGATTCCAAATACTCTTTAATACACATCAACATGATTTTTATTCATGTTAATGGTTATTAGGACCTTTTTATGTATACACAAAAGTCTATACATAAAACTGAGTCTCTAAGAATGCCAGTGTTAGGAGGCAAGAGCAGACTGTACAGCACACCTACTTCAGTCACTCTTCTTTTACCTGGTGGAATTTCTCTGTCCTGCTTGGCTATTTTGCTGTCCACTGCCCTGCAGTGGAGAATCCCGACGGGACAAAACAGGGGAACGAGATGTTGTTCTCACAGGAACCTTTAGGCAGGAAATACAGTAATTAAATTATTGAAGACATGGAAAGGACAAAGATTTCCTATGAAAACATTTTCAATATAGTCCTCCTTATACTATCCTTCCTATGACCCATCCCCTACTCCCACCTCAATTCTTCCCTGGTCCTCAACTGATAGAAAGGGAGTGAGAGGAATTTCATTAAAGGTATCCAAGGAGCAAGGACAAACAGCCTTTCTATGCTCCTGTAACACTTAATGATGTTTGGACAGAAGCTGGTAGCAGGGGACATACAACAGCACTTTGCTGAGATCATGTGCGAACCAAGAAAATAAGCTCAAAGAAATCAAACAATGGTCTACAAATGAATCAGCAAGAGGCAAAGACTAGCAGGAAGCAAGAAAATATTCAGAGGAAGCAAGTTCCAGGTGAAAGAAAAACACTATAAATTGTGCCTTTTTATTCTTTAAAAGAAAAAAAATCACTTTCTTTGAAATTTCCATGCTAATTTTTTCCTTATAAGACCTTTGCTGAAAATTCTGATATTGGCTAGTGTTGTTAATGTACAGCTTCCATACAAACCTGTAAGTTATAATTCTACATTTTTCAGAAGCATATCTTTTGTGGATTTTTTTCTTAAATCATTTTGCTATCATATGTTTAAAGACATAGTTCATAGTAACAATAAAAAATTAATTAACCACTGGCTAAGTGTAAATGCCTACCTCTAGAAATTTCTTCCCAATGTAAAAAGTTCCTTTAAAACTTCACTGCCCCTTTAATTCTGGTGAAGTCATTATACCCACAATAATAAAAATAAATAGTATTTTTAGGATAACAAAAAAGAAAAAGCAGCACACATCTGTCTTTCTGCTCCTTACCCTTGGAGGCACCTCGTCACTGTCTGATCTAGACCAAGCCTTTTGGGTGGGGTCAGGCACCTCTGACTTAGAGTCAGAGCTCTGATTGAGCACCTCACTGCGGGAAGGTGGACATGGGTCCTGAGAACGAAGATGGTGGTGTGCAAATTTGGGAGGAGAAGGGTCACTGAAGGAATGGGATCGCGAGACAGGGGAAACATTGTTCTTGAGAGATGCCAGGTGGGACCACTGTACCTTACAAGAAAACAAAACACAAAACATTCAATGCGTTCTGCATAAAACTGGCTTTTCTGGTTAATACCATATCCAAAGCAGGAATGGCATGGTGGAATGTAAACAGGAGCAATATAGTATTAGGCAAGTGGAGCAAGTAAATCAGGCTTTTGGAAACAGGTGATCTGGTGAGCACAGTATGTAGAAAAGAGTAAATGTATATAAGGAAAATTCCTGACATCCAGAAAAACATGCAGATAGATAGCAGTAAATGTGAAGATTTATAGGCCTATTGAGAGGGGGACAATGCACTATAGGCACATCTGCATCAAAGCTAATAAAGGTAGGAAAAACACAAGATAAAGCAATCACACAAACACCTACTTACACCCCTCATACTACCTGGCACTCTGAGAGTCAGACCAAGTAACAACACAGTACATTTAACGAGTGAGCACAGTCCCCTCACACCTTGATAGAATGTAATAGTATAACTTAGAAACAGCCAACTTATCAAATATACCATTAATTTAAAAAATGTTTACAAATCTTGACACTTATGACATAATATGGCTAGATTTATATATCTTCATACTTTTTACAAAAAAAATTGTGATTTCTTTGAAAATATTCAGTACCTCGGAATCCCTGAACTATTAAGACTATTCTTCTTACTAAATAAAACTTTAAAATAATGACACTATTTATCATTTGAGTTTATTCAGTTGTTTTTATAATGGAAAATCTACCTCTGGAATAATCTATAAAATACTTTCATTAAACTGTATCTTACTATTTTAAATACTTGTTTCAACATTGCAATTTATATAATTATTACATCAATGAATTAATGAAAACCAAAAATATCAAGTTGTAATTTGTTTGATCTTTCCAGATGTAGTTCAAGTAATAATTTCTATAACTTATAGGTGAAATTCAAGTAATCCCACTTATTGATATAATCTCATGTTACTAGTATACTTAAGGTTTTCAGAGAGAAAAATATACAAATAAAGTTCTACTTGAAATGATAATTAAAAATGTGATTTCAACTACAGTTCCACATGAGCAGTTTCCCCCAAAGATTATCTCATAGATGTATGTTTTAAGCACAAGCAACTTCAGCATAGGAGGAAAGAAAACATTTCTAGGTAATAAAATATTAAACATGAAATAAAACCATAGGTGGTTTGAGGCCAGCTCCCAGCTAAGGTAGGAAAAGTTTGGGAGACTCTTAACTTCAACCACTTAATAGCCAGAAATGAAACTGTGGGGCTGGGAAGCTGGCTCAGTGGTACAGCACTTGTCTTGTTCGATTCCTCAGTACCACATAAGAAAAAAGCTGGAAGTGGCACTGTGGCTCAAGTGGTAGAGCACTGGCCTTGAGCTGAAGAGTTGAGGGACAGCGCCCAGGCCCAGAGTTCAGGCCCCACAACCAGACCCTCCCCCCAAAAAAAATGAAACTGTGGTTCAAGCGGGCAGAGCCCTAGCCTTGAACAACAACAAAAAGCTCAGGGAAAGTGTCCAGGCCCTGAATTCAAGCCCTGGGACTGGCAAAAATAGAAAAGGAACATCTATACAACCTAGGAACTCCTATAATCTATTGTTGGTAACCAAATAAATAAAGACTTCCAATTTCTTGTAAGTTTAACTTCTAGAACAAAAGCTTTTTTCTTACATTCTTCTAATGTATCTCTACTAAGCTGCCTAGGTTCTGGAGGACCAACTACTCTGGGTCTGTCAAGCTGCTGACATCCCACCCACCATTCACCCCTGTCTCTGTGATGTTGAGGCTTACATTATTTGTGAAACAAGTATGCTCCTTATGTATCTTAGACTGGCTTGGAAATAACAACCTTCCTGCCTTAGCTCCAGCAGTCCTGTTCTTATTCCTTTTTTGTTGACTTTTTCCTGCTGCAGTTCCCCATCACCTAAGGGACCCAGTTGCTGTAAAGCTCATTCAAATTCCCATGTGAGTATGTTTTTTGAACACTGGAGTCTACTTCTATCTCAAAAGCACTAAGTTTTGTTCCCCTCAAAGACCAGTGTAAAGTGCACCTTGGCTTAGGAACCTGTTTCAAGCAGCTTGGATTGCACAGCAGAAAGGGAAGGGAGGGAGATCTAAATGTTCACTACTTGTGGGGAAAGTACAGGATTAGTATTGGAACTCTCTCAGATCTCTGGCCTGGGCAGTCTTTGCTGTCTGCTTTCTGTTTCAAGTAGCACAGTAGCTTTTCTTTTAATCACAAAGCATTCTAATAGAACTACCTCACTCAGTTAAGGCAGAGTGATTTCCCCTGATCTCCTCTGGTGGAATATTCACCTAACCCATGAGATCTTGTTCAGATTTTGACGCCTTTGGGCACTGGGCCATTTTTCCAGAATCCAAACACTTAAACATTAAAAAACTCTGCATGCCTGGGCGCTGGTGGCTCACACCTGTAATCCTAGCTATTAAGGAGGCTGAGATCTGAGGATCGTGGTTCAAAGCCAGTCTGGGCAGAAAAGTTCATAGACTCTAATCTCCAATAAACCACCAGAAAAAACAGAAGCAATGCTGTAGCTCAAGTGGTAGAGTGCTAGCCTTGAGCTGAAAACTCAGAGACAACTCCCAGGTGCAGAGTTCAAGCCCCATGACCAGAAAAAAATCTGCATGAATTTCAGGAGCATCTTGAGTTCTCTAAGGTCCAATCAAGGTACTGGCCAGAAGCCAAGGATCATAAAATGTTTGGAAGGAAAGGTCCTGCTTCTTTTCTAAGTGTTTATGATACTAACCTAAAAAACTATAAGAAATAAGCATTTGTTTTAGAAGACAAATGGCTTCACATCTGAGTTAGGTAAAGTGTAAACATTTGAAGAATACACTGACTCTAGACATGCTTTATGAGTTCATCAGAAGTCCTTTAAAAAGAAAAAAAGAGATTGATTTTTATTTTCTTATGTGTATGTCCTTAGCTATCAGTCCAAAGCTACTCCTGCTTCTCTCTTTCTAATGTGGTAACAAATTAAATGTGGCTTTTAAGCCACCACATGAGTCTTCTCCACCACAGCAAAGCTGGCTGACGCTACCTGTGGCTCCGCTGGTCTCTGCAGGGCAGGATGCACAGACTCGGAGTTGCCATTGGAAAAAGACTCTGATCGGGAAGGCACTGCTGGCTCCAATACTCTGCCTGTCTGCTTAGACTGGGCTTCAGGGGAGCTGTGGTTAGTTTTCCTAAATCTATCTTCCACCTGCATCAGAGAATTAGAAGACATAACTCCATGTTAGTAGGGGAGAAGCAGACCTGCCAAAGAAATTCTGAAAGGAGAATTCTAAAGAGCAGTTTTCTGATTTCTTCAGCTACAAGAAAAAAGACATAAAGCAGAGCTAGGATTCAATTCCAGAAACAAAGAAATATTAAGCAAGGTAGCTTCAAAAATCTTCATGCCTTGAATTTTTAGACTATACAATGATAAAATTAAGAAAAACTTAATCTGTCACAACCAACTAACCAAATAGATTTAAAAAAATTAGTATCAGGAATTTAAAGCACATTTTAATTCCTTCCAAAATAAAGGCATTTCAGAACGGGGAACACTTGTTCCTAAACTCTGTTAGGTAGACATGGAAAAAGGATGCCACCTACAGGTCATACTCAACACTTCTGTAAGTATATCAGCTCCTCCTGCCTAGCATTTCAGAACAGTGTGAATTTGCCATATCCCACTGAGGCTCTGTGAGCCAAGTACTACAAATTGGATTAAAAGTGCCCTTCATTCTCACACTATTTTTGGATCAGACGATCAATCTTCTCATTCACATTTTTGAGAATGATACTGACATACAACCTTCTTTTGTTTAGTTTAGCTTCCAATCCTTCTAAGATTTGTCATTTGAGGCACCCTGGTAATTTATGGAAAAAAAAAATCACTACCTAGATAGGAGATGTTGGGCAAATTCTCTGCTAGCTATAAATAAATGGCAGGCTATTAGCTGACCTCTAAGACCTGTCCTGATACTCATGGGTCAAAATCATCACTAGATTACTTCCCATAGCATGGACAATTCAGGACCAACGTCAAAGGAAGGAAGGAAGAAGATACCTCTCGAGCTCTGTCAGCAGGCTCATAGTGGGGTTTGGGTTCAGGAGCGTGATAGCTTGGCTTGCCCCTTTCCTGCTGCGATGGTGGCTGCTGCTGCTGCGGGTGCTGCGGGTGCGGCCTCCTGTGGTCATGCTGTAGAGATAGGAGATATGCTTGTTCTTGTTGCAACTGCCTCTGGAGCCTCTCTGCCTGCCGGTGCTCCTCCATCTCCCGCCATCGGCACTCCTTGGAGAGGGAGAGGATAACACTAAATCTCTGAGACACTGTAGAGCTCACCTCTTCTCTGGATTTGTTCTTGATTTTTTTTTAAGACAGTTTTTTCTTCTTGTTTTATAGCAAAGCAAAATGACAGGAATTTTAAATGACATATTACCTGTGGAAAAATCTGACAGTGTTGCTAACTACAATTTCACTGGACAAAGTAAGAGAGAATTAAATTAAATGTCAGATTCAATAGTGTACACATTTCATAAAAACCCTATGTCATTAGCTAATAGCCCTTAATGCTCTGGTGTAGTCTCTGAATGCCAAGTTCCGTTGAAAACCTTGCTTATCTACCAAATAAGAACTGTAAACTTTCTAGTGGTAAAAACTGTTAACTTACTAATGGTAAATAAATCAGTACATAAAAGCCACCTTGCACTGTGCCCAAGAAGTATGACCACAGTGAACGTTTCCATCTGAGCCTGGCCACCCACAACAGAACCAAAAAGTTCTAGTGATCACCACAGCTTGCTGACTTGAGGGAGGGACAAACAAGCGCTAACGCTAGGGAACAGGACAGAGGTGGGGCGTTACCAGTAACATGGCCTGCTCCTGGAGCAGCTGCTGCTGAAGAATTTCCAAGTGCCGCTGCTCCTCTTCTAGCTGCCGCCTGATATACTCCTGTCACACAGAAATTACCCAGCAATCAATTTATCCAAAAGGAAAGCATGAGAACCACCTTCTTGGAGCACCAAGAGCCACTGCTCCAATAATTTTTAGTGAGAACTTACTTGGTGGTGAATTATCTAATCTAAAAAAAAAACCAATCTATAGGTAAAGGCTTCTCTAAAAATTTCAAATTGGCCAGTAGGACTCAGAGTCCAACACATTCCAATGATATATATGAAGGTGTCTAAGGCACTTCTGTTAGGATGCTGATGTCATAATCAATAGAGACTTTAAAACGAGGATGTCTTTCTCTGAAGGATGATAGAGTCCAGAAAAATTGTTTCATTAGGAAGGATCAGAGCTCTGATTAGTTAAATATATGCTTATTAATTTAGATAAGCATGGATCACCAACTTCTGAAACCTAAAACCAAAACATGTTAAACACTAAAATAAAACAAACATGATTTGTACTTCTACTTATGATTCAGAAGGCACTTGGAATGATTGCATTCTGAAAGCTGTGGTCTAGGAACACCAGAATCAGGAAACTCTGCAAATAAACAGCCCCAGGAAATTCATGATGAGCGTGTATGTACACAGAAAGCACATGTACATTGGTGATGCTGTAAAGATGAGGGTGACTTTTTTTCAATAAGAGAATAATCAACCTCAATAATTATGAAATTAGGTAAACACATCCGAAGTATGTAACCTACCTTGAGGTTGCATGCATTATCATTTGGACAGGAAAATCAGGATCCTAGTTCCTTGATCCTATTTCCATTCAGGTCCAGCATACTACCTACCACACATTTTCAACCCTCATTTGTCTCTCCAATTCTTACTGTATTTGTATGAGGTTCTAACATAGACAGATACAAAATAGATTTGGAAAGTAATAAACATTTTACAAGTAGAAGAATGTTCCTTTTTCACAGAGGGAAAAAAGAAACTGCCTATCCTAGAAGGTGAGCAAACTAAGGGTAGGTGGAAAAATGCCCTGAAATTCAGGTAATGTTTTTATAGTGTCTGCTACTGATCATTCCTTGTTTGAGGTCCTACACCTTAAAATGAAAATAAGCCATAGACAGGGACTTAACAGATAGTTAATCAGTAAGAGAATACTGCAACAGAAAATCACAGTATATCAACATTCTTAGAATTTCTATTTTATAAATCATATTGAGTTAAAAAAAAAAAAGCTAATCTGCAGGGAAGTTTACCCATAAGGCCACTAGTAAAGCCTCCTGAATCTGACTGAAACATCAAGTCTTGACCTCCTGTGATCAATAGCCAATAACTGCCTTTGAGATAAACATGATCTCACCCAACTGATGATGAAAAAGGACCCTGACTTCCACCTCAATTCTTCTGTTAAAAAAATAGAATTAAACCCTAACTTGAAAAGTCAAGTAGGTATACTCATTTGTTTTCGGCCTTCAAACCACAGGAAGTAGGGGGAAAAAAAATCACACCTTACCCAAACCACAAAGGATCACAATAAATATATATGAATATACACATTTACACAGGAATGAGATGTGTCCTACAGCACTATTGACACGGAGAACTGCTATTTTGCAATAGAATAAGGAAAGCAGAGTGACAATAATTTTAGATTTCTTTTTAAAAATACAGAATACTTGCTGGTCATGAAATCTTAATGATTGTCACTAGAACACTGAAGTTATTACCATCATTCTCGCCTGACACATTAAATTGTTAAGAATTATCTCAAAGTGATTTCTTAAAAGCTGGTAAAGTTTTCTCTAATTTGTAGCCCTCAGGTACAAACATAATCAGAATGTTAAAAAAATAAATTCACTAAAAAAAAAAAAACAAGCATACTTCAGTTAGCTGGTAGACAATGTGAGGAAAGTATTGAACTTATCCTATACCAAGGAAGTTGTAGGAAAACACTGGTGAACATGCAGATCGAAGCCTCAGAAAATCAGAGGAACACAATTAGTTAAATAAGTATCAAGGAACATAGCTGAAGAATTACATTTGGAGGTTAACATCATGGTTTGTGAGTATTTTTAACATGCATTTCCAGTCTTATTTAAATTGGTCCCCATTCATAGGATTTATTTCTTTACTCAAAGCTCCAGATGGTGATCAGTTCAAAGACAGGAAAGATAAACAGGCCAGGAGGCTATTTTTTTGTTTTTATAAGTACATCAGGAAATAAAAGAAATTTCTAAATAAAACTATACCTGGTGTTAATAAAATGCTACACACACACACACACACACACACACACACACACACACACCTAGAACCTGCTATTTTTGGCTGAACTAGATAACAATGTTTGTTTCTTTAAAGTTGCAAATAAATATGCAGAATTGTATGCAAATCTATATTATTATATTCACTTAGCCATTGCTGGGTTTTTCAATCATTTCTTACTAGAAATTTGGCAGTGGGATTTTAATTTCCTCAAAAAAAGAAGGTAATCATCATCCATATGACCCCCACATTTCGGGCTCTTAACATTTAAAGCAAAGCCTGAGAATACATAATCAGGTATCTGTCACTATCATACTATCTGGAGACTGATGGTTTCAAGAACTTTCTAAAGTATAATGATTTACAGATTCTTTTCTAAGACTAAAGAGTTATTAGTGAAGTTCTAATGTTTCACCATTTTTTAAATATCTAAAGTTCTGAATGTATGTATGAATGCAAATATATATATATATATATATATATATATATATGCATGTTTTCTTTTTCCCTCAAATCCCCTAACTCACAATGAAACAAACTTTATAATGAAGGGTGATTCTTCTTTGTGAACTAACCTGCTCCCTTTCCACTCTCCTCTTTTCTTCTTCTGCCCGTCTCCTCTCCTCCTCTTCTTTGCGCCTTCTCTCTAATTCCTCTATACGCCTCTTTTCTTCTTGTTCTCTCCTTCGCTGTTCACGTTCTTGCTGCCTTCTAGCTTCCCGCTCTCTTCTTTGTTGCTGTATAAGTAAAAACATATAATTACCAGGGATCTTCAGCTATGGCTCTTAAGCATAGATTGCTGACCAGTTACAGGTAGATCCTAATTAGATACTAGACCCATCATTACTGGCCAATAATTTCCATACTGTCCTTCAGCCATGTGTGTAACTAACAGCTTTGCCATTTATATTGGTCAAAGGCGAAATGTTCCTATGAATTCTTTCATTTTGCTAAGCATCATCCATACTACTATCTGTAATCACAGCAAATAGGTTACAGTGAATTCTTTAAGGTTAACATTAACAGAGTTCTTTCAAGCCCTTTGCCAGAATAAAAAGACATGAGAAAGGAATAAAAAGAAATAGTAGGCAAAGAAAAGGAGTTATCATACATTATATACATCTTAGCTACTCAATTATCATTTCTCTCTATAGCCACAGGACAAATACCAAAGCACTGGCATGGCATGGGGTTTGAAACTATTGGCTATTCCATGAATATGAAAATGCTAGCATCTAGATCAGTACTGTCCAAAAGAACTTCTGGGTTAGTGAGAACATTTTATCTCTGCAATGTTCTTTTTTTTTAAATTTTTTTATTTTTTTGTGAACATACTGTACAGAGGGCTTACAATTACATGGGCAAGATAATGCATACATTTCTTATCAAGCATTGCAGCCTCCTCCTTTGTTTACCCTTCACATCCCTTCCCAGCCTCCTCCCCCCCCTCCCCAACGTTGTAAAGTTCGTTTTCAACATGACAACTTGTACTTCTCATTGTTGCAACAGGTCCACCTGTATCCTTAAACGACTTGTTTTTCCCCATCTCCTCCACAAATTATACCGACATCAAATATAGTGAAAGCAGGGGTTATATAAGCAACAAAGAAATAATCTTATAAATGCGTTAGAAACAAATGCGTGAAAGAAAAAAACATTAAAATACATATCTAACATCACATTATCTGACCTTTTCTGCTTGACTCATACATATACTAGATATTGCAAATAAGGGAAACCATGGGACCTATGTTTCTTTGGGCTTGGCTTACTTCACAGAGCTTCTGCATGGCAAAGGACATAGCTAGCAAGATCAATAGAAAGCCCACGGATTGGGAGAAGATCTTCACTAGCTGTACAACAGACAAGGGTCTCATATCTAAAATATACTTGGAACTCAAAAAATTAAATCCCCCAATAACAATCCTCAAAGAAACAACTGCCCAATAAATAAGTGGGCAAAAGACTTAAAGAGAAACTTCTCTGAAGAAGAAAGAAGGATGGCCAATAGACACATGAAGAAATGCTCAACCTCCCTAGCCATTAAAGAAATGCAAATCAAAACAACATTGAGATACCACCTTACTCCAGTTAGAATGGCAAAAATCAAGAACTCTAACAACAACAGATGCTGGAGGGGATGTGGACAGAAGGGAACCTTACTTCATTGTTGGTGGGAGTGTAAACTTGTTCAACCACTTTGGAAAGCAGTATGGAAATTCCTCAAAAGACTTCACATAGAGCTCCCCTATGACCCAGCAATCCCACTTTTGGGCATTTACCCAAATGTTTACAAACAAGACCACACTAAAGCTACCAGCACAACTATGTTTATTGCAGCATTATTTATCATAGCTAAGATATGGAACCAACCCAGATGCCCCTCAGTGGATGATGAATGGATCAAGAAAATGTGGTATATATACACAATGGAATTCTATGCCTCCATCAGAAAGAAGGACATTGCAATGTTCTTTACTGTGGCCACTAGTCACAGTTTACTATTAAGCTAGTAAAAATGCATAACTTATTTTATTCACTCAAATCAACTTTAAAGGGCCACATGCTGCTATGGCTACTGTACTGGTGGGCAACAGTAGCTCTAGAAGATAAATACATAGTAAACAGATAATGTTATCACCAGCTATACTGGCCTAGCAATAAAACAGTATTTTGTTGTAACTATTGGTAATGTTAGACACAAATATTTATAATGGGTAAACAAAATAAGTACTTATTAGAAATTAAAGTATTCCTTCTGGGTCATTCCTCCAACCCCTCAATTATATTTCAAAGTAGACACTTGAAAATGATTCCCTGAGAAATGGAAGAAATGCCATATATGCAGAGTAACTACACAGAGATTGTAATGGTATATTGTGGTCTTACTCTGTGAAATTCTCCACCTCTATTATCCATCACATTAAATTTTGACTCCTACCCTCATTCTTTCCCATTGTCTGCTTTTAATGCATGAATCCAGTCCACAAACACACCAGCTTCAGATGGGTGGAGGAAGGTCATAAAAAAGAATAAGCTCCTTAACTAGTGCTTAAAAAGTGTAACTGAAGAAGTGTAACCTGAAAAAACAAACCCAAAAAACTACCTACAATAAAACTATTTCCTCCTATCTCAGGACTCCTTGAACAATCTAACAAAAAACACTTGAGGAAATAAACTCAAAAATCATACCCAAACTATGTTTTCTGGAGATTATCCCCTTCAAAATAAATTAAGCTAAGACACTTTAAATTTTCTACTTTTGCAAGGGTGAAGAGAACTTACCAGGACATCATTTACAATGAGCATTCAGTAGTTCAGGACACAACCATTTTTCTAACTTTGTGATTAAAGTTATTTTATTTTGCACCCCCCTAAGTAACTCTGTTTTCTTTAAATGACTTACTTCCATTAAATATTACTGGTTAGGCATATTTTCCAAAGAAAATCACCCTTTGAACATTTGGTTGAGTAAAATATGTTAAAAGTAAAACAAAAAACAAAAGCCATGTGGTAACTGAGAAGATAAATATAAACTCTTGAGTGCTCTCTCTAAAAGGGCAGCCAGGCAGCTACAATCCTGAGAAATGAGTTTTGTTACTGTTCTCCTGCCCTGTGACTGAGGAATAGACTCCACATAGCTGAAGCCAAGCCACAATATCTGTGGGTTCATAGGGAGAAGTGACTTGCTAGAACGCACTGGGTGTAGCAAAACATAGGCAGGCATCCTACCTCTGGATGAAAGAAAATACCTGCAATAACAAAACGGAGCCATCCAAATGAAAATATAAACAACTACAACAAAAAAAGAAAGTGTCTGAATCTTTAAAAGAGAAATCAGGTTCCAAAATTAATCAGATTAAGAGGTACAGAGTCTGCAAATACACTGAATTTTAAAATATACTGGATATTATCATGGTTTTATACATAAAGGAGGTACACTAAGGCAGCATGTGCATATGCTTTATAAATTTGGGAGCATTTGAATGTACCAGGGAAAACTACGAGGAGCAATGAAGTGAGTCCAGAAACAAGGTCAGGGCTTCACTGTGCTTTGCTAGCACAAACCACTTAATCTCTGTTGGCCTCTGATTCCCAACTTGTCCAGACAGAAATGTATATTGTGAGGTAGAGACGGGGTGGGAGCCCAGTGCTAGAAATGATCATAATGAGTAGAGTACAAAGCATACTCTTTGGAAGAAGTCAACCATTGGTATTTAAAACATCTTCTAAGTGAATGGTGAAAGAATCACTCCTCTTGAAAAAATGTGGGCTTGATCCTTCCTTACTCATCACCCTGGAGTATGTGCTTCCACACACTGAGATAAACAGGGCAACAGGAGGTTAACAGAGAAGTGAATTAGTCTGTGTCTACATTATGGTCTCTAAAAGTGACCAGGACAATCCATGAGTACAAGGGGGAAGAAAAGCTTTTACTTTAACAACTTTTATTTTAACTGATTATAAAATACAGCAGAGTTCAACTCATAGGTAGATATATCTTGGTCAGATATACATGCTCAATTTTTTGTCTTGGTTTTACAGGAGGATGTATGATCCAAAATCCTTTGAGGAATCTGTGTCACAAATAAGCTGTCTTATTTCCCTAACTTCCAATTCTAATTCCTCAAAAGTGAGAATTTTGAAAGGTCTCATTTTTTCCCCTATCCTTCTTTCTAAATAATATGCTTATGGAGTTACTTTTAAATAACTTTCTATCTTGGATACCATCTACTGACTTCTCCAAAAGAATAACCATCATAGCATCATCTGTTCCCACTCTAGTTTCGACAATTTCTGGTAAAATGAAAACTACATGCATGACTAATCAATGTAGGGGTAACTTGTCCTTGACTTTTTTGAGGGTTCATTTTTTTTTCTGTTTAACTGGTTTTCTTTGGCCTATCACAACATTATAATGTGTACTACACTACTATGAAAGTTCTTTTGGTGATATCAAAGAAATCAATTATTCTTTCTTTACTCTTGAAGATCAACACAGTTGCAGCCCTGCCCTCCTTTTGTATACTCATTGTTCTCTAGTAATTCTTTTTTTCTACTAACTTCCTGGGAATCCTTGGGGACTCCCCTGGATAGAATCTCACTTCTTGGAACCTTTGAGATTTTCTTCCTTATTTTACTGAGAGGTATCTTTCAGTAGTTTTGTGGAGAAGAAGGGAAAAAAGATTTGGGAATCTGTATAGCTCAAAATCTTTATTCTTAAGCTATACCGTCATTTTTGAATGAGTAATTTTTCCCTCAATTGAATTTCCTGTCCAATTCTCAATACTTAGTACAGGACCCATTCTACACTTTCTACCTGCTCCTACACTGCAGTTTTTAGGGTCATTTTTTCATTATAATATACTAAAAAATTTAAATGATGTATGTTTCTTCACATGGCCCTTTTTTCATTCATGTGCTCTTATGTACTCCATATCAATCCAGATATCTAGAAATTAATTCAGGGAACCTTAATTATTTCTTATATCTTCTCCTTATCATAGTCCCAAAAGTAGCAGAGTGGAGCAGTGGAAGTGTGCTGGGCCCATATTCACCCCCTAGAATGTCTACAGAAAAAAGAGGTAGTATATATCTATATTATATATGCTGTTCTATTATCTATCAATTTATATCCTCTTACATACACACTCTCTGGAAGTTCTAGATTTTTGTTTATTGTTTTGTTAATTTTTTTGTCAGTCTTGGGGCTTGAACTCTGGGCCTGGGCACTGCC